ATATATTGTTCAAGATACAATAATGCTCAGAGACTGTTGATGAAATCAGACTCACTTTGTGCCAGGCACTTGGCACATATGTAGCAAAACTGGAGACCTTGATTCTGGGACTCTGTAAGATGAGCTACTAGCATTCACTGTCCTAGCCAAAGTTAGTGCGTGTATATCTTCAAATAGCCTGTTGACTGCCTGAATGTCATAGGGGTTTCTTAGGAAAGCAATACTCAGAGGTGACTATGCCACTTTCTTCCTCTGAAATATAGCCCATGATGCTGGCTTTTCATTGGTAGTTCCATTCAAGTACTAACCAGGACTGAGCCTGCTTAGCTTTCAATATTAGACAGGATCTGGTGCATAGTGTGTTTAAGTCCCTTTAATATCAACAGTTTTGGGAAAAAAACTTATGTCTGAACCATGTCATAATACTTGTTATGCAGGCATCTTGATCTGGTGGCCATCTGTTTGATAGACGTTTTGTTTCCATTTCATCTGTTTGGCTTTTTAACCCGAGGAGTTTGGTCTGCTTTCTTCAAGCAAATGAGATGCCAGGGTGTTTTGTAAGCTTCTTATCTGACTAATCAAACATTTTTAGATAAAATCTTTTAATTTCCTTTTTTTCCTTTTGTGTTTTTATCTCTCTGTATCACCTCTACCCATTTACTTAATTTGTACAAATGGATGACTTGTGCAGAAAGGGGGATTTATTCTTTGTAATAGTACCTTTTAGTACTATTGAGTGCAATCCTACAGACTAACTAAAAATGCTGTGTCCAAATAATAATAATAATAATAATCATCATCATCATCATCATCATCATTATCATCATCATCATCTTTATTTATACCCTGCCACCATCTCCCTAAAGGGGACTTGGGGCAGTTTACATGAGGCCAAGCCTGGTAATACATAACAGCAAAATACAGAACAACAAAAAATATCATCACAATAAAATAAATAGAACATAAAAGTAAATAAAACAGTACAAAGTAACAAGATAAAAAAATCAATCACAGTGGGCAGGCAAAATGTACAACATAAAATGATAAAACACTGGATGAGATAGGAATGACCAAGATATATAAGGGGAATGCTCGTAGGGGATGGGGCAGTGGAGACAGGCCTTCCAAAAATGGGGGAGTGCAATATGAGGACACATTTTAGGAGAGACAATAGGAAAGAAGTATATGGTCACTCTCCAAAGGCACATCGGAAGAGCCAGGTTTTTAAATCCTTCTTGAATGGATAGTACGACCACCTCATATCCGTGGAACCAGTTTCCATGGTTCCATTTATCCCCGTCTGATGATATATGTCATCTCTAGGCAGTTTTTAGGTACTCCAGGGTGTCTCTATGGTATTCTTGGGCCAGAAATCCACATTTCAATGCTTTTATCCATGGTTTTACGCATCCATGAACATTTCCTCCATGGCTGTGGGGTTGTATTGTATTATGCTGTTTTCTAAGGCATGTTGGTGATACTGGTAGTATATATGAAGTTAGTTTTTGAATTCCCTTAGCAAAGACATAGCTTCCCTAATGTATTCAGAATAGAGTGTCAATTCATTCTTTAGTAATGAAACACTTCCAAGAAGCTAGTATTTTTGTATTTAGTCTGGGTGTAGGGTGGCATGCTGCTTTTAAGGTGAATATTTTTATATCTATATATAAAGGTCTAGATGTAGTTATATATAAAACATGCTCTTACAATCAGGCCTGTAGCGAGGGGGTGGTTTTAGGGGTTCAACCCCCCCCCTGAAATGTTTCAGATTTTTTAAAAAAACCTGGTTTACTCATGAATTTTAACTGGTTAACCAAATCCCCATGCTAAGTCTATGAGATGCAAAAAATTAAGAGTCCCTCCAGAGCTGTAAGCACTATCTCAAGCAAATATTGACAATTTATTCACACTGTCATTACTTGCAGCAATAGCCGATGTAGTGAAGCAACCAAGTTGGGTGTGTGTGTGTTGAATGCTCTCATTAAGGAGGCCAGACTTGGTGGAGGTGGTTGACGGGTGGAGCTGCAGGCTATGGAAGGTTGCTCTGCCCCCTGCTGTGCTCTTTGCTTCAGCGTGAGCTAGGAGGCAGGTTTCAACCCCCCCCCCCCAAATTTGCAACCCTCTCCGAAATTTTAACCCTCCCCCCAAATTGTCAACCCTCCCCGAAATTTTTTTCTGGCTACAGCCCTGCTTACAATAACACATTTTAAATTAAAATCTAACATTTTAAAAATTGAGGTGACAGAAAGAACTCTCCTAGAACCATTCTGGAGTTTGACACTCTGGATCAGCCCCTGGATAATTGTCCATGTAGAATGCTCTTTCTATGCCTCCTATCATAGTTTTCAGTTTCTTCTCAACCCAGGAACTATAGTTGCCAGCTTCACAACTGGCTAGAATATTAAACTATGATTGAAAGTTTGCTTAATACGCTTTCAAAATGGAGAACTACAGTTAATCCAGCTCTTCCTCATTTTATTGCTTCCCATTGCAAAGTGAGGGTGAAGCGGTGATGTGCAGACTCACTCATATTTCCTCTTATTAAGTTGAGATATGTTCTTCAGTAACTAGAAGTTAATTTCTCATGGTAAAGGAAAGTGTGTGGACAGGGGATGTTTGACTGGCATCAGAGTTTACATGTTATAAATTTTTCCCAGTGAGTTGGATCTCGAATAGTCCTTCAGTGAACAGAAACCATTATTGCATTGATGGAAGGAACGTCTGAAAAACCTCTAAGAATGGAAGAGGTGGGAGGGAATTCTGATGGCTGGTGTCTGCAGTCATCCTGTTATATTTTATATATTGTATTTATTGAACAGTATGCATATGTAGATCAGTGATGAGGAACATTTAAATCTTAATATTTTGCTACCTAGAGCTTTTAACTTCCATTACCATTGAATGGTTATGTTGGTTAGTATTAGTGAGACATCCATCAACAATTTGGTTGATATTGTTGTTAATTGCCATCAAGTTGACCTGTGGTGACCCTATAAATGAGAGCCTTTCAAGTCACCCTGCTATCAACAGCTCTGCTCAACTCTTACAAACTCAGGACTGTGGCTTCCTTGATTAAGTATATCCATCGGCAGTGCAGTTTCCCCCTTTTCCTACAGCCTTCTACCCTACTTAGCATTATTGTCTTTTCTAATAAATAATGTATTCTCATGGTATCCAAAGTAGACCAGTCTCAGTTTAGACATCATGACTTCATGGGAGAGTTAAGGCTCAATTTGGTCTAGGACACATTTATTTGTTTTTTTAGCCATCCAAGATATTCACAAGACTCTCATCCAGATGGGTTGATATTTTTCCTGTCAGCTTCCTTCACTTCAACCACACACAAACATTCAAAATACAATGGCACAGACAATCCTGATTTAGGTTTTCAGTGATATATCTCTAAACTTGAGGGCCTGCTCTTCCAAGTCTTAGTTTTCTTCTGATTTTGTGACTGCAGTTTTCATCTAGACTGGACTAGAAATCTATCTTCTCTGATTGTCACTTCATATGACAGCCATTCCATGGGAAAGCAGTGTTGATCCTGGTAATAAATATCCCACATTTCTGAAAAGTTCTGAGCACCCCTCTTTAAGGAAGTATCCTTGTCTGTGTTCATGTTCAAATAGAAACTGTTCATCTTACAATTGTTTCTATGTCTCTCTCTTTTTTGTGTGCACAAAATCCATGTATGACCAAAACTTTGTTTTTCTGCTACAAAGATTCTGTGTAGTAGGGGAATTGTTAGAGCAACCAGTTAGTATGCATTATCTTCCAGGAAGCATGTATGAATTAGAAATCTGGAATATATCTACTATGGCTCATTAGTAAATTAATCCTGTGCTTTTTTTAGCTACAAAATGCACTTTAGCTCTCCTTTATCCAATGAATATTTAATCACCTATGGGCTTTCTCTTTGGTATTGGTGCAGTGGGAATGGGAGAGAACTTAAGTGCAGAATTAGGATTGAAAGCACTTGCAACATTATCGAACTTTCAAACAACTGGGTGGTGGAAAGTAGTGAAGATACCTCCCAGTTTGCCTGTTAGGAGGTGAATGATATGAAACAGAGATTGATCCTGAGAATAAAGCTCTAGGGATCCTCCTCAGATTCACACCCGAATCTCTTGGAAGCCACTTAGAAGTCCCTCAGGTTAACAACCCCAATCTTCTTGTTTTATGTGATCAAGTATTTGCCTGATGTAAAATTCGACTTTGGGGGAAGATAGCACACCAGGAAACTTAAAACAATTATACTGGCCAGCTTCTCTTTTTCTTTCTCTCTCTCCCACTTCCTTTTTCTTTCTCTCTTGGTAATTTAAAATGCTATCAGCTCATTCTTCCTGCTTCTGTATCCTTTTAGTCTTCATGTTCCGAGAAATGCAAAATCACCACAATCAGTTTAGCTCCCCCGAAAGGCCTGTTGTGCAGGTGGGCCCTTCCTTTCCCCCACAGATCTGTGGTTGGCCATAGATCTCCAAAAACAACACATATTCTAAAAGGCAATCCTCAGAGATTCCCCTTAGTTAAAACAAATGCCAAGTAGTTGAGTTACTTCTAATGTTAGCCTTGGTGGTCAGAGGTGAGAGTATTTATGGAGTGTATTCTTTTTGGGGTAGTGAGGTGAGCTAGGTTTTCATTTGATAGCAGAATGTGGAGCCCCCCCCCCCCTTTTGGCTCCTGAATGTACATGAGAAATACAAGTTGGGGTCAGTCAGGTGGGACTGAGAACCTTTATGTTCCAAGCATATGTCCCTAGCTGTTGCATTTCCCCTTTCCTCCATATATAAGTCATAGAAGAGGCAGAAGCATTGTTTTTTAAACAACCGGTTGCTCATCCAACGCTAATACATGAAATAAATCCCATTGGTTTCTACTGATAGCTTGGGCCATGAAATAGCCATTGTTGGTGCTTTCTAGATGGAGTAATATTTCATCTTATAGAACCAATTAAAAATTAAAATCTCCAAAAGTGGATAATATTTTGACTTATTTTTCAGGGACGGTGCACACGGGAGAACTGCAAATACCTTCATCCACCAACACATTTGAAAACCCAGCTAGAAATTAATGGTAGGAATAATCTGATCCAACAGAAAACTGCTGCAGCGATGCTTGCACAGCAGATGCAGTTCATGTTCCCAGGAACACCCCTTCAGCCAATGGTAAGCACCTTTAACAAAATGGCAGCTGATGCTACCGTCATAAACCAGATCCTGCTAACATGGAAAGTGGTTTATACATTCTGAGCAGTTTATTATTTCTGTCTTTGTAATACGATATTACTATTGCAAATTATTCTGGATACCAAAAAAAATCACATACATTTCTGACACTATTTTGAGATGTTTAGCTTTACAACAAAGGAACATTTTGATGGAGCTGTAGCTAATCGTCATAATTTATGCATGCATTCTTAATTCTGCTTATGGATATTGGTGAGTGTGTTCTTATTCCAGAAGAATTTTGTTTTGAAAGTCTATGTACTATGAAATTTTAAAAGAAGATAGCAAACAATTTAATATATGGTATAAAGGAGCCTCCTGTGGCGCAGTGGGTTAAAGCACTGAGCTGCTGAGCTTGTTCATCGAAAGGTCGCAGGTTCGATTCCGGGGAGCAGCGTGAGCTTCCGCTGTCAGCCCTAGCTTCTGCCAACATAGCAGTTCGAAAACATGCAAATGTGAGTAGATCAATAGGTACCGCTCCGGCGGGAAGGTAACGGTGCTCCATGCAGTCATGCTGGCCACATGACCTTGGAGGTGTCTACGGACAACGCTGGCTCTTCGGCTTAGAAATGGAGATGAGCACCACACCCCAGAGTCAAATATAACTGGACTTAATGTCAGGGGACTACCTTTACCATTTTTTTTTATTTGGGCAAAACTGTTGTTTTTGAAGGGTTTTCATTAGCTTTGTTGTTATTACTTCTTGAGCATTTTTATTCTCACAATTTCAGGCATATTTTATTTATTTTCTTGCTTAAGATACAACTAATAGACTTAAATATGGAGAATTGAAGCAAAAAAACTCTTCATTAGTTTATAGTTTCAGGGGGGAAAGGACCACGTGGCATTTAGTAGTGTCTTAGTATGTAACTTTGTTGCTCTTTCTTCAAAGGTAATGTGCAGTACTTTGTATATAATTAATTGTGAATCTGATTAGTTCTGTGGACTGAAGTTGGAATAACTGGGGCCCTGTAAATCTTTTCTGATTTACAGAAGGGTTGTGCTAAATAACTTCAGGTGTCCTGTTTGTGGCATCTTAATTTGCAGGTTTATCCTTAGTCTGCTTTGCTTGCTCACAGGCTTGATTTTGCCTTCTTTCTCCATCTTTATGATGTGTCTTATGTCTCTCTGTGTATATATACACACATCCTCCCACATTAAAATGTTTACAGAAATCCTTATGCTGAGCCATTTGGAGAATGTGAATTTAGACATTTGTATTTCCTAACGTCAGTTTCAGAATCATTTATGGTCTATGTTATTTTTCTGTTAAAGGCAAAATATTTAACATTAAAAATCTCATCAACACTGGTGACCTAATGCAGGGCATGATCGCTCCTCAGTTTGCATTGTGGCCCTAATAGTTTTGTGGATCAGAATAAAAAATAATAATTGTTATTTTCTTGCAAAAATATTTTATGTTACAGAATGCCCCCAGATGCACTCTAGGGAATTTAGAAGGTGTTTCCATCACATGTGCAACAATAAACAATTACTGTAAAAAAAAAAATCAAAAATGTCTACTGGATGCATTTCCACCACATTTTGCAGACACCTGGCCAATTTTGGACAAGGAAAGGCATTTTCTAAAATCTGAAACATGCTGAAATTTCTCCCATATCCTAAGGGGTGTTGAGGGCAATTTAATTTGATTTGTTTGTTCAAGGAGTAACCCTCCTAGGGCTATGACTAATGCAATCTTCTGCCCCTGTCTTAAACATTTCATGCCTTTTTGATCCAATTCATCTAAATGTTTTTCCCCCTGCCAGGTCCTACAAACTTCCTCTTCAATTCTAAGCTCAAATAGTGAAAAGATTGCAACCGCTACATGCATAACAGAACCTATCTGACCTTTCTAGAATTAATTACTTGCAAACTACTTACATAGTATTCTTTTTCCTGGAATGTAAACTACCATAACTTTAGATGCCAGATGCATGAATGCTCAGTATATTTATATACAAACAGACAATTATTTTCTTCAAAATTCGCTCTCCAGACGCTATTCAGGAGTCTGACTTGGCAAGTGTGGTCTATTGCTTGGTTACATCCAGATTGGACTATTGCAATGTGCTCTACGTGGGGCTGTCCTTGAAGACGCCCCGGAAGTTCCAAATAGTACAATGGGCAGCAGCCAGGCTCCTTACTGGAGCAAATTATAGGGAGCATACAACGCCCCTTTTAAAACAGCTTCACTGGCTGCCAATAAGTTGCCGAGCCAAATTCAAGGTGTAAGTTATGATCTATAAAGCCCTAAATGGTTCAGGCCCCGCCTATCTTTGCGATCGCATCTCCCTCTATGAACCGGCATGAACTTTTAAGATCTTCTGGGGAGGCCTTCCTTTCGCTCCCACTACCGTCACAAGCAGGTTGGTGGGGACGAGAGAGAGGGCCTTCTTGGTGGTCCCCCCCCCGCCTCTGGAACGCCCTTCCTAGCGAAATAAGACAGGCCCCATCCCTCCCCTCCTTTCATAAGAGCTTGACGACTTGGTGGTTTCGACAAGCCTTTGAAAATGTCTAGTTCTAGCTCAGCCCCAGATACTGTTGAATATGGCCATATCTTTTTCTATCAATTACCCAGGTCACTTCCTCCTATTAGGCCCGAGAAATGAACAGCCATAGACTGTACCTATTATTGTTATTGCCTGCTATCGTATTGCACCTAATTTCCTGGGCCCTTTACAAAGTGCAGTAGCCTCGCCCTGGCCTTTTAAATTGCCTTGAGCAGTCAGGATTATTTTAAATATATATGTGCTATTGTGATTTTTAATTGTCTTGTTAATTTTATGTTTATGTTGTTTACTTTGTATGTATTGATGATATTACTTGGAAACCGCTCTGAGTCCACTCGGGGAGATAGAACAGTATATAAATAAAGTTTTGTTGTTGTTATAGGTCAGAAGTACTGTGGTTCTCCCTGGAAATGGATGGCGCTAGATATAACTTCAGCCAGTTTAGACAAATAAACCTTAGTACAGAACTCTAGTTCAGAATTTTTGTACATAATCCACGGAAACTTTAGTATAGAACTATGTTTGCCTGTGAGCATCACGTGTTTATCCTTCATCTCTTTCTATTCCCCCTTCTCAGCCCTCATTTCCTGTAGGGCCAACAATAGGATCCAACACAGCACTAAGCTTTGCACCATATTTAGCGCCTGTTACGCCTGGGGTTGGATTAGTTCCTACTGAAATTGTCCCCACACCACCCGTCATTGTTCCCGGAAGCCCCCCTGTCACAGTCCCTGGGTCAACTACAACACAGAAACTCCTCCGGACAGATAAACTAGAGGTATGGCAAGTACCATTATACTGATGCATGCAGTCCCTGGATAGTTAGGACCAAAGGATTATGAACAAATTAATTATAGGTGCGTGTGGTTTTTGGTGCAGTAAACATTTTTTTCTAACTTTAATGCATTGCATACATTCTGATTTGAAATAAGAACAGGAGTTCAGACATAATGAGTGTGTTATATCATGTGATTCTCAGCTGGATTTATCATTTTGGAAGCTTTCCATGCAGATTTTTTAATATATAACAAAAAGCAAAAGTAAAGTCAGGGAAACATGGTAAGTTTTGCTAGTTGAAGAGGCATTACCAATTAAATATGCAAGTTGGATTACATATGTTACTGCCCAATGAGCTACATGAATTTTGGAGAAATGCTGCATTTCGGAAAATCTGAGCTTCCATCCTAAGTAAAACCTAAAAACTAGTGCAAAATGCTTATATGTGGATCTAGGATCTAGCATGTGAAAAGAAGACAGTATCAAACTGAAACATGTTAAGATAAGGCAGTGAGTTGAAGGGATGGTTACATTGCTTAATTCTTTCTTTAGTGCCTGAAGTGCATTAAACATAGAAACAGTTATTCAAGCAGAAAAAATGACAGAGAATAAGGCCCCTTCTACACTGTCCTTATATCCCAGGATCCGATCCCAGGTTATCTGCTTTGAAGTGAATTATATGAGCTTCCACTGCCAGATAATCTGGGATAAGAAAATAATCTGGTATCAGATATATTCAAGATGAAGAACCAGAAGCAGGGCTCAAGTTGTAGATTAGATTTTAAAGTAGAGCTTTTAAAGGCCAAAGCAATTAGATCTGGAGCATGATTCCAAATGTGCATCTTAACATTTCTACATGTGTTTAGTTTATAATTTCCCCATCACTCCTCTGTTGATCTGGTATGCCTAATGAGTATTGTTTTGCGCACCAGGTTTGCAGGGAGTTCCAGCGAGGAAACTGTGCACGGGGCGAAACAGACTGCCGTTTTGCACATCCTGCAGACAGCACAATGATTGATACAAATGACAACACCGTAACTGTTTGTATGGATTACATAAAGGGGCGCTGCATGAGGGAGAAATGCAAATATTTTCACCCTCCTGCTCACTTGCAGGCCAAAATCAAGGCGGCTCAGCACCAAGCCAACCAGGCTGCAGTGGCAGCGCAGGCCGCCGCTGCAGCTGCGACAGTGATGGTAAGTGCCAGAACGTAGGGCTCTGTCATTACTGCTTTGGGGAAGACAGTGTTGATTGCTTAAGTGTATGTTCTAGCTTAACTCCATCCCCCTTCCCCAAGAATTTGGTTTTCTCTTACTTAATTAATGCTGACCAATAAACACAAAATCTAGCTGACCAGTATTCCTTTTTCATTTAGTAATATCAGCACAATACGTATCTTCTTGGAGCACAACTTGTTCAAGGTCTAATACTCTAAGTTTGCACTTTCCTAGAAAAAAATAGTTTTAGGAGTCGCTCTCAGTGAGATATTTGAAGTGCAGGGGATATGTTCCCACATGGACAGCAGTTACTTGAAATGGTGAATACAACCAAACACTGTTAAATTACCCAGCATGCCCTAGAGTTGCAACTTCTCAGTGAGATATCTTCTCTAGGTCTTCCAATATACCTCTATAGTAATTTTGATGGGAAGCATCATAGAATTGCCTGAAAAACCTAGCCGATTTCTAGGGAGACTATTTTTCTCCAGATGTGGGTAAGCAAGACCACAGTTAAAGGGGGTACTTATTGTACTTGGATCTTAGGAAGTTTTATTAAGATGGTATATGTACATAGATTTCCAATTGCAAAGTGATTTGGGTGTATAGCAGCGAACTAAAGCAGTGTCCAAAATGTTAGGAAAGAAAGAAAAAAGTACCTGCATGCGTGGATGTATGTATGGGGTATGTGCTTGGATATGCTAAAGAGGCTAAATAGCTGAACTCTCTTTTGACTTCTCATAATCTGTGCATCTAGGATTCAGTTAACCAATTACTTTTAAGTGGAGGTGACAGAGCAAAAATGCTAACATTTAATGTGGTGGCTTGCAAATTCTCTACCACAGCTAAAGCTGTCTTAGAAAACAATATCCTGAGGACTGAACAGGAATGTGAGGATGGAACAGGAACAAGATCAGTGACTACATCCAGAAAAGAGAGAGAGAGTGGGTGGCCTTGGCACAGTACCAGCCTATTGAAATGACCTTGTGAATTGACACTTCATTTTCCTTCATATTAAAATGCAATCCCCTTTTGTTACTTCTTCCAGTTGTTAAATAGCTTCCTTTATTGACTTAACTGTGGTATCTTGACACGGCCCCAAGAGCTGCTATAAGTGCACGGGAGGCCTTTTGCAGGCATGTCCAGGCTTTTGACTCTTCCTAAAAGCAACTCATTGCATCTCATTGAGTTTCAAAAGCAACCCTGAAAGCACCAGCATGAATACAGAGCTAATCACACAGCAATCTATATTGCTGCCCTCAAGACTGTCAGAAATGCCACTCCAATGACTAGGTAAAATAGCTTCCCCAAAGGAAATCCCTTCCCTTCAGAAGACGTGCTTGAAGAACTGGTTTGCTGCTTAGACTTTTCTTGCTACTTCTGAAATGTTTTGAAAGTTGTCTTTCTGATAACTTTTATATCAGTTGATGAAAGTAAAGTAGTCTTTCTGTTAGTGCCAATGTTAGGTGCCTCCTAGAAGCACAGCCAAGTACAGAATTCAACTAATGCAAATTTAACAGCTCAGGAATGTTTCAAGGTTAAAGACAACTTTCGTTTTGAAGAAAGAAACAGAAAATATTCAGCATGTCATCCTACAGAGAACTGTCTTAAAGAGTCCCTTAGGCCCTTGTGTGAAAAGCATTAAAAGGAGAGTGATGGCATTACCCCTCCAGATAAGAATTCATCCTCTCCCTGATGACCCACTTCCCAAATTTCTAGCATTGCAAAGAGAGTGAGAGAGTGATAATTGTTCACACCTAGAATTCTTCAAGTTGTTGTGTTTCTATCCGCTTGGGAACTTGCCTTTTTGGATGCCTAAACTGTACTTCTAAATTAAGCTACTCAAATGCTAGAAAATTGAAGATTCAAAGAAAATTACATGGCGGGGAGGGGGCAGAATTCTTATTGGGGAAGCAGTGTCCTCATTCTGCCCCCCCCCCCCATAGCAGAAATAGTTTTTTTGGGTTTGTTTTTTCTTGTAGTTGCTCTTACAGAAATAGTTGTGACAATGGTGTGTGTGGATTGTGGCTACACCTGTGCCTCTTCCAAATCAGTGATGAGCAAAGTGTAGCTTGTGGGATGCCACCAAAGCCAATTTTGCACCCTCTAAGGGTTCCCTGTATTTGTTCAAGTGTTTTGGGGAGTGGAACATTTTTTTTTGGCCCCAAATACCAATAGTGCTCCAAGAAGGCATTTTTGTGTGTGATTTGGCTACATTTTCATCATTTTTAGGCCTGTGCAGTTCTTCTTTCAAATCAGGAAATTGGTACAGGGAAGGGAGACTTATTCAGGCCAAATTGGTGAAGAGGAGGCTGCAAATATATGACAATGTGATGGAATTCCACTATCATGCTGTTAACCATGTTGGGGGGAGGGGGTTACATTCCCAAAAGTTTGGAGTGTGACAAGAGTCCAATGATCCAGAAACCTGAAATGGGACAGTGCAACCACTTTCCTGGGAGTTGCCCGTCCAGATTCTAAATTCATAGCCACAGATGCACAATCCTCTTTTGGCTTTACAGGGTGCATTTAGTGTTGGCTGGAGCAGTCAAAGACTTCACATACCACAAATAAACTCTGCACACATCTTTGTGTTTGTAATTAAAGTAGTTTGAATTACCACTACACTATGCTGTGTCCAAATTGTCCTGCAAGAATCTAGATACACTAAATGTACCAGATCCCTTCTGATCCCGGAAGCTAAGCAGGATCAGCTTGGATGGGAGATCACTAACAAATACTGGCTGCTGTGGGCTAGGGGGGCTAGATTTCAGAGGAAGGAACTGACAAAAACATCTCTTGCCTATGGAATTAATGGGGTCACTAGAAGGCAACAAGCAACTTAAAGGCACATTTGCACAAAAAGAAATTGTCCTGCATGCATACATTTATTACATATCATTCCAATGTTCATTGCTAAAAAGTATCTGGAATATTCGGAAATTCACCATACTGAAGTTGCATAAAGCCTCTTTACATTATCTTTAACATTGACATGCAAATTAAATATGTTGCAGTTGTTCAGATAATATTAAAAACCTACTTGTATGTTTTCTGTGTTGGGGAAACTGAGATGCAGCTTGCATCTGGAGCATGTTCTCAGAAGATAATGCTGATTAGCACAGATAATGTTCTTCTACCATGGAAGTATAGATTGGTAGAGAGCCAACCAAACCCATCAGATTTGTCATACATCATTGTTCATTGATTAACCTTATGAATGCTATTAAAAACAAACAAGGAAACCCATCAAACACTATTAATGCAATATACCATTGCTGATGTCTTAAACAAGTGAATTAAGTCTGATTATTGCAAGGTAGCTCTCTTGCTAAGCTGTGTGTAAACAGGGGGATACTAAAGCGGATAAGAGAAAGTGGATGAAGGTAAAGATTTGTCAAGTCATAAATAGCAAGCCACATAAAGAAAGCACTGAGTGTAAAAGGGGATCAGCCAGTGTTTGCTTGGTGATAATTTGAATTGTCTCATGATCTGTTGAGCTCATTCACTAACCATGGAACTCAAATATGACTAGAAGCACTAACACTGTGGTTCTGAAAGGTCAGTTTAGTACTACTGGATGAAAATAAGGAATACCATGGAAATGTGGAGATATGAGAGGATATTAGGACTTTAGTCAGTCATATCCAGAGCCATGGTTCCCCCCATAATCTTAAGTGTCACTTGGGCAACCTTATATATGGAGAAAAGAACAATATGCAAGCACCAGCAGCTATTTCCCTAAGCTGCTTTGGTCTGGGGAAGACCATTTTTTTGAACTGGGAACAAGTGGATTAAAAAGCGGATTAGGTCTGTGGTTGCAGCCTTCTGCATGAAACTCTGCCAGAAAAAGAGGCACACAGTGAATAAGCCTTTTGGAGTGTGGTTTAAGGGACAAATTCCTATCATATTGCATTATATTGTAATGTATTCAATCAGTTTAAAAAGCGATTGACAACGATCAGGCTAGGTATGGAGTTATGGCAAGAAAATACGACCCTGAAGATTTACTGTGCTGAAGAAACTTATTGTGCTGAATATGCCAATAGAATTGAGATCTATGGTACGGTTTTACTAAGCAGAAAAAAACGACATGTGAAAAAGGTTTTGCTACCCCCCCCCCCATTTTTCCCCTTTTGAGTGTAGTCAAGCTATCTCTCTTGCTCAGTTACCTGAAAATACGGAGGGTTCATAGCTTGGTGGTAAAGCTCTGCTTCGCATGCAGTCCCTGCGAATCCAGTCAACATTTTGTTGGGTAGCAGAATTTAAAAACAACTGAGATTCTGGAAAGTCACTTCTGAAAAGTGCAGATCAGAGTGGGCTTAATAGACCAGTAATTTCACTCAGTATGTTGCAGCCTTCTGTTTTTTGTAATTACAAGAAGCAGTTTTTTAAAAGATCCTTCACAGTGTTGCCACTGTGGTTTCTGTTCTGATCAGAAAATGGGACTTGTTCACTAGGAGCAGTGTGTTTCTCCATTGCTCTATGCTATTGCTGTGTATTATGTGCCCGAAGTCCTAAAATTACAAAAACAAAATGCTTAATTTGTAACAATGTACTGTTTTTCTTGACATAATGTGGTAAGTTCACTGGAAGATGCCCAAGCCCTTGGTCTCAGCATAGCAAATCCTCTTGAAACAAGTCCATGCTGAATTTGATAAGTTAGTGAATCAGAAGGAATCTTTGCTTAATATACCCAAAAAAGAGGGGAAAAAATTGAAAAAAAATCTTTGATTGAAAAAGAAAAGCACATGCACAGTTTCCTTTTGCTAATAGAAGATCTATTCCTAAAAGCATTATATGGTTGAGATCTGAACATGTGCTTCTTCCATTAAATCAGCTTTCCTCAATCTGTTTTGAACTACAGCAATGCAAGTGGTCAGGCATTATGGGAGTTCGAAGGTCCCAAAGATTGGGAGAGCGCCAAGCTGGGAAAGACTGCTTTCACCTGTCAAAAATCTTTCAGTGGTTTAGATTTTGAATGTCAGAATTTGGAAATTAACTCTTGCCTTTTTTTTAACATGGCATTAACTAACTTATCAAAAAATCATTTAGGATAATCCCTGAAATAATTATGCTTTCCTATTATAGCATAAATGCTTACTGGTGCTTATAAATGCTTAATGGTGTCTGCAAGCTGCTGTTTTATTCAACTTTCCTAAATTTCAAACATCTATATTTTACTCTCTTATATGCTTTTAACTAAGGTATAGTAGATGCATTTTTGCTTCAGTACTAATTCAAGGTGTAATATTCATCTTTTTAGAAAACAAAACATTTTTGTTGTTGTGCATGCCTAGTGTTCTGTATGTTGTATATTGCATTCAGAATATTTTTTTCCTTCTCACCTATCCACAATGCAATGCCGTTCCCATGATGCACCTCTGCTTGCTGTTTACCTGTATGTTAATTCGCTTGAATCCCATTGGCCCACTGCCATCATGTGCTCGCTGCCTGTTATTAAAAGACTCAGTCGACTGCCAAAGCAATGAAGCGACCTCTCGAGGCAACTGTAGACCTGGTACTTTGACCTTTCACCTTTTGCTTTGCATGTAGCTTTTTCCAAGATGCCAATAATTTTAATGTTTCCCGAATTGTCGTATTAATTTTACCAACCAATATAATAATTTCAGCATTTAGCAATTTCGTTTTCACATGTAGTTATAGCAGCTTTTTTCTAACCACATTTCATCGTCAAATATATTTACTTAAAAGTTGAAGTGAAGAAAAAAACCTGCATTTGTGATTGAAGATGCTTATCAATACTAATTAATATAATTAATGATAGATATGTATCATATTTACATTGTAATGAAATACAAGTGCTTTTTTTCTTCTGCTGCTGTTTCACCCTTATATAAAGAGCTTTTGTTTCCCTTAAACTCCCTTTTGTCTTGAAAAGCTTTTTTTGGTTGTTGTTTCAGTTATTGTGGTGCTATAATTTTAGTTTAACTGTGCCATGCATTTATATCAATAACAAAAAAAAATGCCATCCATTTGACGTTGTTGTTTTGAATTAATGTGCATGGCAAGGCATCTTCAGCCGTTAAATTTTATAATGCAGTCAAAAATAAAAAAGTACAAGCTGTTTAAAGTTCTGCCTCACTCATTATGTTACATTTTCTTTCTTTCCTTTTCAGGCCTTTCCTTCTGGTGTATTTCATCCTTTACCAAAGAGACAAGCACTTGAGAAAAGCAATGGTGCCAGTGCTGTTTTTAATCCGAGTTTCTTACACTATCAACAGGCTCTTGCTAATGCACAGTTGCAACAACATGCAGCCTTTATTCCAACAGGTATGTTGTTCTTAGAGCATAAATAAAAATATTATAACCTTATCCAGTAGTAGTTAAAACTTTGGATGTTTATCACATTCAGTGTGCTTCCATCTCTTTCTAGCATCTTTCGTGACACAGAATTTAAGGGTATTGTTGGGAATGAGTTTTTATTTCTTAATATTTTTGAAGAATATTTAAAATTCAGAAATATTTGTGGGTGCTGTCAGAAAGCTTTGACTTTAAACAACTCAAGGAATTGTTTATTGTTACTCTTTTGATATCTGTCACGACAGGCTTTTGGAGAAGAGCATCATATTAGTCTCTTTAGTATTTCTGCCTTTTTGAAATGTGTTCTGCAACACACATTTTTGTACAGGTGTTTTGAAAATTGAAAAGAACCCACAGGAAAAAAAAACAGCCTTATTCAAATTTGCTAGGAGTATGTTAAGTACTTGTAATTACTGGGTCTGTCTTTCAAGTGTATCTTGCATGACTAATTTTCCAACCAGAGTACAATTTCTACACCATATCCACCTTCTTGCTAGTATTCCAACTCCTCCTAATATTACTCAAAAATGTAATTGATGATTTCTCCATCCAGAAAAATACATATCATATTCCTAAAATTCATAGGGAAGAACCTGATTTATCTGTTGGTAATAATTTCAGGTTTCTTTTTGGTGGCGATTCCTGAACTATAACTATGAGCCATCAACTGGCAGTCCAGGATGAATTTCTAGAAAAGAAAAGAAAAACATTTATATCCCATAATCACACTTTTGGCCCAATTAAATTAGGAAAAAAAGTTGTTGGTTCCCCTCTTCAGATCGCCTGTTTTAAAATACATATTGACTATAGTAGTCATAGAAAGGGCACATTAAAATCATGCTTTTTAAAACAGATGGTTATGTCTAAATCAGAGTCAATGTTGTGCTTTTATAAAGCAGTATATTTAGTTGTACTGACTTCCCCTAGATAATATGGTCAGTAGCAGATGTTCACATATAAGACATACCTTTCCAAGAGTTCACACCATGTTATAAACTATCATCTGGAAGAGGAGAATGGGACCACATTTTCTGCTCACTCTTATTATCTCCTCAGTTGGGGGAGGACGCCTTGAGTGTATGTGTGTATGCATGGACTCCCCATGCAGAATTGTAGTTCTGAATCACTGGGATAACCTATAGGCATATGACATCCTCCCTTGTGTGAAAGCTTCCCCAATGTACAGATGGTGTGGAGCTAGGAATGACATTGGCACATGGGAAAATGCCACAAATGCATAGACTTGGAGTCCCTTCTACCTTATTTTATGTGCAAGGAGGTAACGTTGCAATAGAGTTGTGTTTTGTTTGGGATGTGATCTTGAAAAGATAATGAGCTTCAAACATTAGATGCTTCAACTATTTGACTTCTATCCATGAATGGGCTTCTTGTGTAAGCAATGTAGAGTCTAATTCAGAGGTATATTGTGGTGTTGAGTCAGGGAAACGGATGCGATGACTAAATTAACTCTCCCCACTTCCATTTTTTTAAAAAAGGCAACAAGGTAGCCACTGAGATCCATTTTAATGCACAATCTTTCAAAATGTAATTGTATGCACCAACTCCTAACAGTGAAGTTAGGCAAATATAAATTGATCAAAATAAACTCTGTCATCTGTTTGCAGCTTGAGCTTGTAATCTAGAGATGTATCTTCCATTTCTAGGAGAGATAGATGGGCTGTACAATAAACATATTTTCAAATGGAGAGAAATTGCCCTGTTATTGCAAGAATGAACTTAAGTTATGGCTGAGCACACATTGAGATGATCAGCCTGTTGATCAGCATGTATGGATGCTTGCTTGGTGGAGATGTAATCACCTATATATATTCGTATCCCCTCAGCCATCTTGCTGTGCATTTGTTGTCAGTGAGAACAGCTGTGGTTGTTTATAAAATAAGTTTTATGATCCTCACATGGTTGCTAAGAAAGAGAACTTGAAAACAAGAAACCAAGGCTAATTTAAAACAGGAAGGAGAGTCTTCCAGATTCCTTGCAGCTTCCATGTAGGTGTCCATACAAGAACCCAAAGCTTCATGCTGCTAGTGTAAACATTGAAAACGATAATTCTGTTGTATTCAGGGAGTGGAAATGTGAGTATGAGTAATAGATACTGACAAATTATTATCAGGGTTGTTTGTTTGTCTTTTTTGTTTGGCTCATATTATTTAGTGGGCAGTAGAATGAGAATAAAGTTCATGGAAGAGTTCAAGATGTCCCCCTTTTGCCCAGTGTTTCTAGTACTTACATATGCCCAAAACAAAAATAAAAGTGAAATCATACCAGCATAATTCTCTAGTGTGAAAGAGCCCCAGCTCAGAACTTATTTGGGACCTTAAATGAATAGGAGTATATGGTATATTCTAGAAACAATCTTCCTGTGTCTTTCTTACTTTTTAAAATGGTATCGATGGTACTCTGGTGTTTTTAGAAGCAGTTAAGATATTATCCCTAAATGGAAATAGGAAGAATTTGTCCTGAAATATCTTGGAAGTGCCTGGAATATTAAGGCTGATGGAAATATAGGGAAATATATATCTGTTTTTTAATAGACATAATTATTTAATTGACACCTGTGGAAAATATGGAGTAGTGTGCAATTCCGTTACATTTGTATCTCTATATTTCATTGTATCTCATATGCATTGACCACTAATGATGCTAAAACCCATTCCCTAAAATGCTAGTCATCCCATTGATTCTTTCAGAATTAACAACAAAGTAAAATAAGTGTTGATTGTAGGCTTGGTTAGTATAGAGTTAACACAACTTTTCATGCCTGAATGTTTCAAGATCCCAGATGTAGTAGAAACATTTTTCTTCAAATGATTATAGTTTTAATTGAGTGTGATAAAAGAAACATTACATCTTTTCCTCAATGTTGATCCTTCCTGACAAGATCATTCATAGCTATCTTTTTGTTATTATTGTTATTGTTGTTAAAATTAAATTGGGTTTATTAATTTAGAATTATTTATTTTTTGTTTTTGTTTTTAATACTCTGGGAAATAGTTTATAAAAGTGCAGGGCATGTTGTGATTTCAAAAAGCTTGATTTAAGTGGACCAGTCCCCCACTTTGTCCTAACAGGGTCAAGAAAATAGTGAGTTAGGGTAGAAGAAATGATTCCAGAGTTGCCATACAGTACTAAGAAAATATTAGTTTATGCTGATTTTTACATTTAGTCTAGATATGATAATTCACACTATCAACACAATCTATGCATATTTATTTGGAAATGAATCCCATTCCGTTTAGTGATTATTATTCTTTATCCAGTTAGTGTGTTTAGCATTCAAGATGTAAGAACAAATCAAATATTGACAGTATTTTTAGACTGCAGTCCTAAGCATCATATTTACTTGTGTATAAGTTAACCTCATGTATAAGTCGAGAGTAGGTTTTGGGGCCAAAATTATGGATTTTGACATGCACAGTGGATAAGTCAAAAGTTATTCCATGGAGAGAGCAAAGCTCCAGTGCCAGCTCAAGGGGACAGCCACCCCTAATGGCAGCTGCCATTTTCAAACCCAGGCAATCAAAAAGGCTCTTTACTACTGTATTCAGAAAAGGAGATGGCTTTTTAAAAAATAGAAGATAAAGTACAGTATCTTATCAAAGAAGGGGCCATCCCCTTCTCTCAATAGCGGGGCAAAAAGCGAAGGCTTAGTCCACGCTGGGAGGAACCAAAAAGCACTCTCTTGACACTCCTTTGAGGGGGAGCACGAAGGAGCCAGTACCATTTCCCCACCCAAGCATTTATAAAAGTCAGAAGTGGCGCTGTGTCAGAGAGCTCCCTCTGGAGAGCAATTTCTGGAGAGGATCAGTACTTCTTTTAAGTTCTCCTGGGACAGACTAAGCCTTCACCTTTCATCATGCTGTTCAGAGAAGAGGATAGTTCCTTTTATTTTGGTAAGATACCACACTTACATTGAACTGTTGATGAGTCACACTAGATTTGTGGGTAGTGTGTTTAAATCTAAAACCTCTAGACTTATACATGAGTATATATAGCAATTTCTGTTGAAGTCTGTGGAATTTACTCCTGAATAAACATGCTTGGGGGATTGTGCTATAAAATTTAGCAGCTAAAAACATAAGTATTTATCTTGTGGCATGTATCTATATTTCCTCCAAAAATAGACCAAACCTTAGATTTCATTATTGATCTTTAAACTTTAAAGGGAGTTGAGTTGGCTTCAAAAGCAGCCTGGAGCCACTCCCCAGTTTGAAAGGAAGATTTGTAAACAGTGATCAACTAAGCCAATGCCAGGCATATTTAGAAGGAGTCTCCACTGGGTTTAGCAGAGTCTGTTCCTAAATAGGTCTATAGAGTATTACATACATTGTAAGACTGCAACACTAAACATACTTGCTCTCTGATCATAGTAGGATATTGAGGATTGTTAGATAACCCATACAGTTCAGAATGCTTGCTTTTTAGGGGCTAATGCAATTTCTGGAATAAATTTTAATGAAGTCTTTTCTATGTGGATTTTTATGCATAGTATGTTAAATATTTATTAATATTTCTATTACAAAAAAGAAATGCTTTAAAACAGCAAAAGAAAAAGAGCTAAGAATGACCTCTCTTAAGTTGTATTTAACTTGTTTGGCTTATCCTTGGGGATGCTTGGATCTCACTTTGAATGTTAACTCTAAACAGCTAACCTGTTTCTTCCCTTTATTCACTTTTTTCACCTATCATTGCATGACACACAGGGTCAGTTTTGTGCATGACACCTGCTACCAGTATTGGTAGGTTTCAAACTTCTTTATTGATATTTTTATTGTATTCTGTAGCTTCCTTTGTTTTTGAGGAACTAAAACATAACTTTAAAACAATTGACTCAATCTGGTTATTCATTTGGACTTTGGCTTGAACTGTTAAATTGTTGAACTTTGTTTCAAAAATAAAAAAGAAAACCCTGCTGCTTAGATGCAACATCTCTTGCTATAACAATTCCACTGCAAAAAGCCCAGATGTCATGAATTCCAATCTGCTTTTCTGTTTTCAAAAAAATCTCTTTCTATATTTTATAATGCTGGCATGATTAAATCATAAAATATTGAAAAAGCAGTCTAATTTCATCAGTGTTCTTGAAGTTTCATAGTGGTGTGCCTATTTCTTCTTTTTGCTGTGTTGTAAGAAAATTTTATCAGCGTTTCCCAGAAGCTTGGAATGATTTTAATACTGGCCATAAAGTATTTGAATAAATCTTGGACCTCAATAATATTTCACCTTAAATTAAAATAAAGCCATTTTAACAGTGCAATCCTACACATTTCTGCTCAAAAGTAAGTACTACTGAGTTCAGTTAGACTTAACAATAAGGCAGATGTGTATAGGATTACAATCTGTGCATTAAACATAAGAACATTTGTCTTTTTCAACTGTTTTGCAAAAGAGAAATGTGTTCAGTGAACTTCTCTCAGTTCCCTCCTGTATTCAAATAATTAGATCCAGTAGGTTATTTTAATTGATGTTTCCGTTGTTTTAAAGTTCGCATCTGAAATAAACTTTGTAAATCAAGTTGTTGCCCTGTGCTATGATCCAATTAACACATATCATATCAATTTATCTATAAAAATGAACCAGAATAACTAAGCACAATATCTGTTTTTTCAAATTAAATTGTAATAAAATAAATTGCAGACTTAGTGACTATATAAAAGTTTCCACTTCCTTAAATAAGCACAGGCCCCATTTTGTTTGAATGGGGAAGGCCTCAAATTTATTGACTACACGTATGGAGGTTTAGCTGGATCCAGGTATCGGCCATTTGACCTCTCAGAATATCACTAGAATCACAGGTGTGGGATTCCATTTTGGCAAGCTCCACTGCATGGTCCCCTGCTATCTAGCAGTGAGATAAAGGCATTCCACCACCCCAAATTAGGCATGACCTTGGCCTTCTGCACTCCTTTAAAGAACCACCAGAAATTGCCCTGACAGGCACAGCAGACCCATCTTCTACCAACTAGATCAGTGGTTCCCAACCTGTGGTCTGTGGACCACCAGTGGTATGCAATCACTGTTACCACACCATTGCAACGAGAGCAACTGGTCTCGCAAAACCTTCTTGTAGTGCTGAGGCTTATTAAGTATGGTTTTTTGTGGGTGAGCAGATGGCGAGTACAGGATGGCATATGTATCTGTATCAGAAACTAGAGCTGATGTGGTCTATCCAATGTAGTTTTCTGAATCAGCACACCAAATAACCAAACCAAATCTAAAGTTGACCAAAAACTGATTCATAACCTTTTGTTACTAATGTTGGAGAGTGGTCCCTGGTCAAAGTGGTCCCTGGTAAAAAATAAAAATAAAAAGGTTGGGAATCACTGAACTAGATCCATCCCCAGCTCCTAACCAACGCCATAGTGGTGACAAGAAATGTGAATGTAAATGATATGCACATAAGTCCTCAAATAAATGATGGGATGAAACTCTGCCATCTGTTGCTGGCTCTGAGCTCCTTTCCACACAGTCCTATATTCCAGAATATCAAGGCAGAAAACTCCACATTATCTGAGTGTGGACTCAGATAATCCAGTTCAAAGCAGATATTGTGGGATTTTCCACCTTGATATTCTGGGATATAGGGCTGTGTGGAAGGATCCTGAGTTACCAAACTTTCTTTATATTCCTTTGAGGAGGATCAAAGTGAACTCTCCAGTAGCTTCAAAAGCCCAATACCTCCAGTCAAAAGTTAATTTCTGACTGGTTGGTTTTTCCTGCCACATTGGTTTATGGTATGAAGAAAATATGCAGTGTCAGCCAATAAGATGCCCTCAGTCTTTCCCCATAGGGCATAAACAAGCACTTTAGTTAATTGAATGACTGTTTATTATTACCTAAACTAGGCATGGGCCAACTTCAGCCCTCCAGGTGTTTTGGACTTTAACTCTCAGAAATCCCAGCCAACTTACCAGCTGTTAGGAATTGTGGAAGTTAAAATCCAAAATACCTGGAGGGCCGAAGTTTGCCCATGCCTGACGTAAACAAAGGATATTGTGGCAGCTGATAAAATAAAACAGATTACTTGTGAGAGTCATACAAAATCAGTGGTTGGCATAATTGGGAGTAAATAACTATTGTTGCTATTTCAAAATCAAAATGGACATTCAACTTAAAATAAGAATGTGTGACATCCTAAACAAGTTGCTTTTAATTAATCTTATTAGTTTAATCTTTTCCATAGACAACATTAAAAAGAGGTCTCATATTCTCTGCTGAGTATGTTGAGTAAGGGAATAAGCTAGTCAGATTAATGTGAACAGAGTCAAAGGAAAAAGGACTTGATGAAAGTGAGAAAGCTGAGGCAGTGTGCCAGAGAGCTTTCAGAGGCAATCTCTTGAACATGCTTCTCATTATGCCCGTGCCTGTTTGTAGTCAGAAACAGTACAGCTAGAGACAGGGCAACTTTTCCAAACAAGAGAAAAAGCTAGAACATTGATCAAGGCTTCTTGGCCTTTTTGCTAAGATCACGTGTGTAGAGTGGCAATGTTTCTAATTGAGAAATAGGGCACTAAGTAACTGAAAACTACTGAGAGCCAGCCTAGAGTGCAAAAATGTTAGGCTTGCTTACAAGGTCCAGGTACTTACTTCCAGATCAGTGTGAATAGGATTGAAAACTTAAATAGGGAGGTACAGTCTTAAAAACTGGAACGAGCCCTTATTTTAGTAGATTTCTTCCTTTATTGAATTTGGGGGAGGTAACAGAAATGGACTGAGTAAGAGCCCTGCCTCTTTCTTTCTCTCTCTTTCTCTCATCAAGGACTACCTACAGGTCTTAGTACTACTTGCCAAAAATTAGGCTGTTTTGAAAATGTTCACAAGAACCAACCGTTACAATATGATAACACCTCTTTATAGCCAGGGAGAGAATCAGGCCAGATTTGACAAAGATTAAGTTCAAGGAAAGTGGTAACATTTTGAATAGTGACAGGGACTTAAAGCATAGTTAAAGTGCATGAAAACAAAATAGAATCATATCCGGAATCATCCTACATTCCAACAATTAGAAAACAGTATTGAAGGGAAGGTGATGGCGAAAACAGTGACACTACTTTAGTGCTTTGAAAGTAAAAAGGTTGGAGGAGGTTAAAAAACTATTAAAATAGGATAGTGTTCCTTTCCTTATAATCTCTTTCAAAACTGCTCTCAAGCACTGAGAGCATTCTAAATACACCTACTTTATCATGTAAGTCTTTTTTAATCATATGATATTTTTGGAATGTTAGAATGACAAAATCTGTTATAGTATGACCCCCATATCTGCGAGACCAGTACCTGCAGTCCAAGAAAATATGTCCTTTCTAGGCATTTTCACAGTCCTCCAGTGCAACATTATGGTATTCTTTGGCTGGACGGCCTTCATTTCAATAGAGTTTTTTCTGTTATTTGTGGTTTCGTTTATCCACATAAAGTCCAGGAACTTATCCCTGTGGATACGGGAGTCATACTGTATGTCATTCCCATAATTAACAGGCCATCTTTCACGAAATCATTTTGTGAAACCCACTGTGTTAAATTAAAATGCCCCTCCCTAAAATGAATGAATCATTTGGGGGTTTTTTTCTGGGAATCACCGATAACTGTGACAAATTTCCTTTAAATTGTACTTGTAATAAGCTATTTTCCCTTTTGTTTTATTTCTCTGCCATGCTTTCTTGCTTTGCATTGTGATTGCATGCCATCTGCTGGTTTAACCCATGATGGCTTGCTGCTCTGATTTTCACCATGCCAAAATGCCACTTCCATTGCCATAATGCTACACACTCCTGTTCATTGCTTCCATGGCTCCCCTCCTGAAAGTACCCATGATGCACAGCGCTACGTCCGCCACTGTCTCTGCAACAACAACTCCTGCAACAAGTGTCCCCTTCGCCGCAACAGCCACAGCCAATCAGGTTTGCTCCTTTTAAAGCTTTCTTTCACAAATCCCAAACTCTAAATGAGTGCTGGTACTTATTAAAAAAATTCTCCTGGAGAATTTTTTTTCTTCATGTTTTTACCCATCAAATTTTATTTTGAAGTGGTTCTCCAGCAAGTATTTATGCACAGGTTGCACTTATTTAGAGTTAACATTTATTGCAAATGATGGTGTAGCTATGTCTAATGTTGCGCTATTTGTTTTTTGTTTCTAACACTGTGTAATTAACCCAAATGATGCGCAGTCATTTTAGTGATGGTCTAGTCATGTAGAAATGATGCCGCTAATTTGTTAAATTGGATAAATGAGGTTTCAAATGTTGACTACTCTTTCTCCATACAGTAAGTATAACTAATTAATTGATATTTTCCTAAAGGCTGAAACAAGCTCCAAAGGACAAAGTTAGGTGTATATGTAGACTGCTAATAATTGTTGTTCTCTAATATCTGTATAATTGAATATTTTTGTCCAAAATATCAAAAAGGAACTTCAAAGTTCTCCAAAGAGTATTTGTGTCAGAACAATATACAGAATATAGAATAAGTTGAATAGTTATTTTATTTATCGTGTCATCAGCAACCATACCTGATTGAATATTTGAATAGTGATTATGGGTCCTTTTGTTTCCATTTTTAGTTTTTTTGTTTTTACTCTTGGCTTTAAGTGGGGGGGAGGGGCTGATCTAGCTTTGGTAGTTGTTTTTCCCCCATCCATTATTTAGACAGATGGTTTGGATTCATGGAAAAGGAGAAACCCTGTTACAACATAAATAATGGGAGAGACTGTGTGGTGCATTAGTTTAAGTGTTGGACTGCAATTCCA